TTACTACCACTTTTCTTTATGTCGCCGAAAAAACAGATTTTAGAATTATTTGATGCTCGATTGTCTCAATACGATGTCTATCCTGATATAATTTTTAATTTCAATAATTAATGTATTAATTATGTACGAGCAAACTACCACGCGTAGAATACGTGAAATAAGCGAATATTAAATCGATGTGCATTGATGAAATTAATTTTATTATATTTTTGCAGGTGGACTTTGCAGGAAACTTCGACCAGATTTGAGGATCCAAAAAGAAAACGAAAGAAAAAAAACATTGAAGACCAACGGAAACGGGAAAAGCTTTGGACGTTTGAAAAGTCTCGCGACAATGCAATTAGCATAAGCATTATTAGACGCAAAAACACTTGCGCATCAACACTTGCGAGGTTTACTTGCGAGATTCTCAGAGCGATGTTTATAATTATTAATTATTTATACGATTTTTAAGAACATAATTGACTATAGATTCGTATTCATCGATCATTATTCGGTTGTTTGAATATTAACATTTCTTATTATTATATAAAATAAGCATAAATATAAATTGACGAATAATCAGAGATTTATAAAGTTATGATCAACAAGCTATAATATGTCAGATGATGGCAGATTACGAACGCCGGCCTAAATATTGAGTCGGATATTTCCTTATTCGCGATAAATTCGTCAGACGTCAATTAAGATCGGAAATCTCAGTATAATAAACGATTTGACACACCTGGTATTACATGATGCATCGCCGCCCGGTTCTCGGCGTCTCGCTTCCTCCTCGCGTCCCGACTTCCCGAACCAGCATCCTAGCTCCTGGTCGCTCCGTTGTAACAGTTGTCTCTTATGGCGCTAACTCGCGTGGACACAAAATAAATCGATCGGAGAACAGAATATTAAATAATACCGCGACACTCACCGCGACTATGATTGCACATTTCTAAAATCGACGGAATCATAATTAACGTACCGATATAGATACTACGCGGTATATATGTGTCGGTCGCGCCGGCTCGACACACAATGAGACACCGTAAGTTCGGTCGCCTTGAAGGTTGTCAATGTTTTGATTGTTTCGATCACCCAGCGAGCGACGACGCCGGATAACATGGTTCTTTTTTGCCCGTTATTTTCGTTTTCTCACGCGTCGCGTACTTTTCCGTGAACGCGTGTTACGTTACGTCATTATACACATTTCCATATGCATAGATATACATAGATCTCTAAATGTGTGAAATTATTTGTTACATGTAATGTTTTCTATTTTAACGAATAGTCTGATGCATTTAAACAAAGGGATATTCGAATTAAAATTCACGCCGGCGCATTTGAAGTACTTTGTTGACAAATTATATACTTTTGATTATTGCAATTCCATAAAATTTTTGATTATTCGTCAACCTATGTATATTAACGGATAATTTATAAATATTAATTATAAAGAAATATTAATTTAAACAATCGAGTAATGATCTATAAACACAAGCCTGTAATTAATTATGCCCTGAATGAAGGATTGAAATAATTTATCATTTTTAATATCTGTGTCGTAGTATATTGACAATATTGTTCAGATAATCGAACTAATTAATTAAATAATTCTGAGATAAGCCCCTTTTTTAAGAAAACTCCGTGACACGGAGAAAAGGACATGATAAATGATTATTTGCGGCATTACGACAGGACAATCTGTATGTGTGCAGTGTTATACCTTGCGATTCTCTGTTGCGATTTTCCTTCAAGATTGATGGAATTTGCATCGTTAATATAGAGTCAAATTTCAACTCGGGTCTTAGCCGCTGTTTCACGGAAAACATCTATGTGCAAGTTGCATGTCAGCCGGCGCCGAATGCAATGTCGTGACGACGAATCGACCCTTCGTATTAAAAAGTTGACGTAATTCTACCCTCGTGCTAGGAATTCAGACGTTTTTTTCTTTCAGATGCCATAACCGATACCGCGGTAGCTAATTCACCGGAAATTATGCACGCGAGTCGTCGTATCGTTGACTTCATCATGCAATCGCCGGTCGGTAATTGATGGCTTTGAATTTCGGAATCAAGATTGCCTTCATTTATTTGATTAATCATTCTCATCGTGGTATGTTTGTTCGAGCAATGCGATGCAATTGTAGCCGGCGATTATCATCAGACGTTAGCGATAACGTTAGTGAACATTAGCAAACATCAATGTTCAACCACGTCTGCGGACACGCATCGATGGCGAAATTTTACTGAGAAGGCAAATGCAACAATGTTACGTAGAACGACATCCGGATGACGTGACCGGATTCTTGCCGCAACTGGAAGTCTCGCCGACTTGACGGTGGCTCGACATTCTCGACGAATCGCTGCTATTGTCGCCTTCACCCCCGTCGGTTCGCGAGACGACGGTGTACAATGTGCTGCACACCCCCACCGAAAGAGCTCACGGTTTAGCCTTGACTGCACGCAGGGGTTGCTATGGCGATAACCAGGCCCACACACACGAGCGCGAGCGAGCGCGCGCACACATACATACATACATACGTAGGTCGTCCGCCACCCCCGCGCGAGCATAAAATCCCCGGTACCAACCCTCTCCCTCTCTTGCAAACGGCGACTACCAAGAGTGTGACCCCGACCTTTCAGGTGGATGACCTCCGCTGCATATCGTGGATGCGCGCGCATTAGCGGACCTCACCTAGACGTGAACTACCCCCTTCTAACCGAACCGACCTCCAGAGCACTCTGCGACGTAAACGTCTTGGCATAGAAATGTTGAAATTTAACAAGATATCGGTATCAATATCAATTCAATTGATATTCGATAGATAAGAGATGACAGAATTTGTACAGATATAATAGGTCGATTCGCGTCGTCTTTCGCCATATTAAAAGAAGACAATGCTCAACGCTTACTAATACCAGCATGCAGAAGCAGCAGAGTTGCAGTAGCACTAGGTATCTGCAGTTTCTTACTTACGGATAGATACTGGCATGTTGATCTGTAAAATATAAATATTTTCAAGTTACATCAAGGTTCAAAATAAATAATATTTTAAAAAATATTATTCTCTGTACACTGAGAAAAAATTGTATTAAAATTAAACAAATATTTGTTCGTCTCGTATACGACTGTGAATACATTTATTCAAATTAAGCCACTAATCTCTAAAATGAAGTACAGAGGTTCTCTGAATGTGAACTTTTTTCTTGAATTTTATAAAATAATTGCTTAATTTAAATAAACGTATTCACAGTCGTATTCGAACAAATATCTGTTTAATTTTAATACAATTTTTTCTCAATGTATCGGAATCTATCCTAAAGGAAGAGAAACAGATGTTAGGTAGAGAAAAATTTAAATATATTTATAAATATATTTATTGTCAACTTGTATTAAATAATGTAATTCTACATATTAAATATCAATAAATACTTTATTAACATTCCCCGAGCATTTTAAAAATCTTCGAGATATTTTATACATGTATTATTATATAACGCATGCAAAATAGCGCGTATAATACGGCACCTGACCGTCGCCTCTACTCGTAATCTATAACCACGAACAAGCGATTAATCTCGTAAACGCCAATATATATATATATATATATATATACACACGTAATAAATTAAATAAATAATAAATTATTTAACTACCCACCGTTTCGCCATATTGGTCTCGACTCCTCTTGGCTTCTTCGTCTGTAGATTCGATTCTGTAGAACACCACATGTACACGTTAAACATACACACATACAGATACATATATATGCATATATACACTCGCGATCCGAGGAAATGCTGTAATTAAGATTTGACACGCGTTAATTGCCACAATATGACGATCGCTTGAGCTTTGCACGGCACTCCCGACGATAATACGACGTGACACGACACTTTATTCTTCTTCGTTGGAAGAAGAACGCGGAAAGAGTCGTACAACAATCGCGAACCATACGCGTCACGAGCACTCGTAACGGACGCCGGAAATTCAGAAGGCGCGTTCTCGTTTCACTCGTCGCAACACGATCGTATATGACACTTACGAAATCAGCGACACGAGGCGCACACTTTACGACTCTTCGACGGAGGAATTACGTGAGAATACGACCGTACGAAAGGAAAAACAGCCGCACCGTTTTGCGATTAACTGCCGATTAACCAAGTAATGGCCGTTCGAATGGCGCCAACCGACTCATTGCCGCGAAAAATCATGCCGCCAACTTTGTGCAGTGTAAATCAGTCGCATCTATTCCTAATTACACCTTCATGCACCACTCGCACCTAATGCGGCTAATCGAATATTCGTATTCGTATATGCATAGATAAATATGTGAGATCTGTGGAATTAAAGTAAATAGATGAAATAATGGATACGAGATAATATGTACGCATGTGTTCGCGATTATGATATTTTTGCATTATCTAATGATGAGGGTTAGGGCAAGAGCACAGGCTTTTGCATAACGCATAATACACAACGCATAAGTGAATCAACCGATCAGAGTTCTTCATTTCTGTCCCGAGGAGGGAAATGAAGAAAACTAATTGGTTGATTCTCTTATGTGTTATGTATTATGTGTTATGCAAAAGCCTGTGTTAAGGGCTCTTGCCCTTAAGCTTTGCAATTTCTCTATTGATTGCATAGGATTATGCGCGTGATCGCTCTATATAATTTGATGAAAGATAATAGATAATATATAAAATAGATGTAATACCCGTCAATATGTACATACACATATCATATTTTATGAGTATACATATGTTCATGAGAAAGAGATAGATAGATAGATAAAGAGAGAGGGGAGAATGTTCGATTCAGTAATATTTCGTGAATATTAATATTCCATAGGTTGCGACATGTGTAAAAACTAGTGGCGCCATCTGACGATCTGCCATAATTAGACTCGAGTAGGAGTTAACAGTGTTACTACTTAAAGACGCGTCGTGGCGCTGCTCGTTTTGTCGATCTGTTCAACAGTATCCGTTCGATACTGTAACGATTGATCAATGGTTTCTGAACATTCGAGTGAGACGTGTACAGTCGACATTTTTCTTCGTATTATTCATAATTTCTTGAAGATGACGATAATAATGGTACGTACACCGATTGCATGCGTTACATCTTAGAAGGTAAAAATGTATCGAGAGACGAGTAATTCAGACTTTCTTTTTCGGAAAGCGCACCTGCGTCCCTAGTCGACGAATCGACAGGTGTGGAGAAAAAGTTTATTCTCGCCGGGTATCATTGACCCGGTCACTACCCGGCTGTATACGCGATGCACTACGCCAATGCGCCAGACGCCGAGGGGTTGCTCACCCCTTCCTGTCTGCACCCTCACATCGAAACGTGGTCGAGGCTTTTGCACGGACAGTACCACTCGAGTATTCGATCCCGCCACTCTCTTCCTCTCTCACTTCCTCGTACGTACATACTCTCTCTCTCTCTCTCTCTCTCTCTGCTCTTCGCTTCCCTTGTCCTCTCTTCCTTGTCCTTTTCGCTCTTGGCTCGTTTTAGCACTGCTCGAGAAATACTTGGATGATTTTGACGATGAAATGTTCACCGTTATTAAAATCGTATATTATCCGAGCTCTTAGAGCGACGGACATTGAGGAAATTGCAAACGACTGGCTGAACAAATGTAAAAGGAAAAACTTTGCTTGCAGATCAATTCTGAGTGTTCTGTACCGCCGCGGGAATATGGGCGAGGCGCCAGTACGACCGAGAGAGAGAAAGAGAGAGAGAGAGAGAGAGAGAGAGAGAGAGAGAGAGAGAGAGGTGAGGGCTGCAGAGAATTACACGAAACGAGGTAGATGCACCCCGTAGAACGAGTCGAGCAATTTATCGCGGAGATCCCCTTATCTTTCCGACCGGCCAACCGTCGTCCATCAAGTCTGATGGTAAGAGCGACTTTTTCTTTACGGTAAGAGAGCGGCTGCTTTCGGTATCATTAATAAAACATAGATTATTTTATTCTATTTTATTCCTCTCTCTCCCTTTGTGAGCGTACAAGTATTGCGAGGTTTATCACAGTTCGGTATATTTTTTTATTTGCGGTCGATGCATAAGTATTTTGTAAGCGTGCAGCCATCAGTCAATATATCAGTGTAGTATTTACGCCATTTACGACATTTGTCGTAAAGTTCTTTTTGAAAAATAAATTAATGAAAAGGAATATTTTAAATATTAAAAGAATTTCTCTCACTTGTGTGGGAAAAATTACTGTAGAATTTACTCCAGCTTGTGCTACATGGCAAAAACAGAACTTGAACAGCGAGAAATACTTGCGCGTGTTCGATTTGATCTCGGATCGCGGATTCTCCGGAAATCGGATAATAATGTAGTGACAAGGGTGAGGGAGGGGGGTTATATAGCCGGCGACGAGGGGTCGATGATACGCGAATGCATCCACACGTAGCGAAGACGTAGCCGACGAAGCCCGAGGCTGGAGGGAAAAGATGGTAGGTTTCTGGGTGGAGGGTGTCTGTCTAGACGGATCGTTGTCTGGAATAAGCCGTGACCGTGAATCGACGCCTTGTTACTGTGGTAGGAAGAAGCGTAGGATTATATGAGCAATGCGTGGGAGGTACATTGTCTTCGGGCTTCGAGGGAATACATTACGTGGCCCTTAGCCGTTGTCTGCCGAGTCCTATAAAATTTTCCAATGCATTATTATTTCGTCGTTGCATCGCAATGACTCTCGTAGCCGTTGCAATTTCATGTCGCCTTAAAGATTACTTCTCATACGTGAGAAAGATTGAACGAAAAAAGAAATCGAGTTCACGAGTTAACGCATTCGTCGTTAACGAGTTAACCATTCAACCGAAAGAGTAATTTAAAGATCTATATGATTTTGACATGAGATTAACGAGCGAAGAGTCCGCGGCTGAGAAAGGGATGATTTCACTGGAATACATTGTACACGTAATAAGCTATTAAATATTGCGGTCTGATTCAATCGAATTCTTTCGGAATAAATGATGAGCTTATTTCACGCCGCGATAAAAAAATCTCTCGCGCATACATACCTGCACGCGCATGCGAGGAATTATACAAAAGAAAATTGGACTTTCGTGCCCGTCATGCGGTTGCAGGGGGATGCATTCGAAAATGGCTACTGCTGGCCAATGCCCCTGAAGCTTAATGACCTCGTGACTGTGTAGACCAGCAGCTGGCCAAAGCCCCTGAACATTGCGTGCACGCGAAACGAACGTTGCATGCACGCATCACGTTATCGTCGTTATCGAATAATGGCGCCTGGCGAATTTACCTGATCGAGACCTGAAAGTTAGAAACTCTTGTGTAAAAGCGCAACATAACATATCTCGAAAGATCAGTCAACAATACAATACGTTTCAATACGTCAATAAATATTTATCTCTTACTTACCGAAGCAAGTAAAGGAAAAATCAATTTTAAATTGCGAGTAAAAGACGACTGATTTCACGCAGGTGTACGCAGTATGAGAGAAATAATTATATATATATATATATATATATATATATTATTTTTTCTACGCCACAGGCGCTCTCTCCGCGCGTATGTATATTTTAAACGTCAAACAATCGGAAAGGCAAACACGTGACGTAGTGACGTAGAATAAAAAATGTCTGCAGTCTGATTATTTTCGAGAAACCCAATTTCTCTCTGAACAATGCCTAAAACGACATTAGATAGTCAGAGCGAGCCAACACATCTCAGGACGTGGCAGTGGCATAGTGGCACTGTGGTGCGAGAGAGCGAAAGTTCGCCCCAGTGCCGCCATCCTGTCTGCAGAATTTCGTCCTCCATGCCCGGACACTCCACCGATATCCTCCCCGTTGCGCCACTTCCTCGCAAGCTACCTCCACCCCGTCGCGCATATACGGAACAAGCGTCGCGTCGCGTCGCGTCGTGTCGCGCCGCGCCGCGTCACTGCGCCCCCGGGGCGCAATATCAACGTCTGGCGACTTTGACTCGTGGCTCGGAATCGATGTAATTTTAAAACAATCCGCTTACATATATTATCGGCTAACGAGTAATTTGAATAAACGTTTGACAATGGATTGCAGAGCAAGTTCGCGCGCGCGCGATCAAACGGCATATCACTTCCGTCAACGTATTTGTCAAATATAACCAGTCGAGAATTTCCCGGAAAAAAAAAAAAAAAAGATGTCGCGTTGAGGCCACCCTTCGCCGGGGCGATATTCCGGCGAGTGAGCTTTTTAGCCTAAAGATGTCGAAAAAAGAGAAAAAAGATGTCGACGAACAAAGGAGCTCGGCTCAAAGGGTTAATGGGTCTTCCAGGTTGGCAACCGCCCTGTCTGCGAACTCGTGGCTCTTTTTGCTCATGCCAGTCGGGCAACGACGAGGGGGTTACGGCGGAAGAGCGAGAGAGGAAAGTTTGCCCCAGTACATAGCATCCTCCTTCTCCGTCTCTCCCTCTGCTCTCTCGTCCCTGCCCGCGAGAGCCCCTCTCGTTCCGGGGAGCCTTGCCACCCTCCCGACGCCAGCCCCTTGGTCCTCCGGGTTCCCGGGCCCCCTTCCGCCTAACCGAATGTCGTCCCTCCGGGGCGTCAGCCCTCCCTGCCGTCGCGCCCTTCCTACCCGGCGCGGCGTCCCGGTATTCCCGTATTCCCGTTTCGCCGCCCCCGAGTCCGCGCTGCATCGCCGCCGAATCAATACCGGCAGACATCCTAACTCACTGGAGGTCAATGCCTCGTTCCCGCGAGCGCCGACGACCTCAACCTCCTACCTTCCCTACCCCACAACCTCCTTGCAGAAGCCAGACGAGGGCTCTCGGCCGTGGGGAGGCGACTTCCACGCGCTCGGACGCGACCTCTGTCGCGCCTTCGACTGTGTGTGCGGACGAGACGACGAGACCGCCTGGCGGTCTGACAAATAACGAATGCATCGGGGATTATTTTTCGCCCTCGGCCCTCGCTCCCGAAAACCGGATAAGAGAAACGCTTTGTGACGCTTCTTGACGCCTTGATGCGGTGTGGCACCGGACGGAATCGGAATGTTAACGGAACTATCTCGAAGCAGCCATTAGGATCGGTGTTAATTGCAAACCGGTAGTGTCCTGATTATTTCTTTTTTCGACGGTACGCGGTAATTACGCGCGACCTCTCCACCCGCGGAAGCAACAGACGAGGAACGACTGACGACGGGTGGTTGATGGGGAGAGATGCGCCAATAGGGATGATTGTTCTCCCGAATGCAATGACGCACGGGGAGAGGGAGGGGGGGGGAAGGGGGAGACACAAAGACAAAGACATTGTTATTCAAAGGCTCCCTTTCATCTCTCGTCTCGTCTCGTCGTCTCTTCACACCCCCCCCCCCCCCGACGAACCCCGCCCTTCATTTCTCCGCTAGAAAGTGGCGCGTAGCTGCAGCCAAAAGATACGGGGATAGGATATGCCATTGCGATTGCGCGAGCTTCGTTTGAGCTTCGCTCCTGCGTCTCGTATCCTTGGATCTTCTTCCGCTCTCTCCGACGACACGGTTAGAAAAATCGTCAGCGCGCACAATCGCGCGTTAAATCGAACAAGAAAAATGTTTATATTACCACACAGACAAACAGAAAAATCCCTTCGCTTTGTGCTCAAAAAGAAGACAATCGCGCGCATTGTATCGTACGAATGATGATGAGCGTCACGCGCGATATCTGGACGCGATTCTGAAACGCGTGTCTCCTGCCCTTCTAATCGTCTAAATGTTAAGGGTCTGACATCGCGTGGACGCGCGATACGCGATTGCTCTAGACCTAGAAGAAAACACCGCGTCGCGCGGATGCACATAAAATTAGACGGTGCGTTCAACTCTCCTGTATCCGTGCCAAGAATCGCTCGCACGCGAAGACTTTTCTTGCGACATTGGATGCTGCGGCAGCCGGGATGGCACCAATGCCCCCGTTCCAAAATGAAATCAGCTCTCGCCGTAGACATTGTCGACGAATGTTTTTCCGCATTGGCGCCGCCGCATCTCACCCGGCGACTCGTTAATAACAGGCGGAGGAGAGCAGCCGCCCGGGGGAAATAACGCGGGTTGGCGTTACTCGAGTCACCGATTCTCCTCGCGTTCTTCTCGTGCGACCGGCGATCGGATATCTATCTCTCATCATCGGGGGTCTCGGTGTCTTTGGAGTTTTCAGTTTCACGCAGAGTCGTAAGTTTCTCGATCGTGAGAATTCAAAGACCCCTATACGTTTCGGTTATGCGCGGCACGCTTGCGATATGTGACGAATTTCTGATGCGAGCTCTTTTTCTCCGTGTTGCGCGACCTAACCTTCGAATGCGTCGAATTTCTCGAAGATTTCTCGAATCATCGATATATTTGCATCGATATATCGGAAAGGCGTCGATTAGGCGTCGCAGCGAAAGGGAAAGGAGACTAACGCTCCACGCGCAAAGGGTGTCGCCCTCGTGAACAAAGGCAGCGTGCGCAAAGTTAAGCCGCGGTATCTAGCCAGGCAGGTCGTGCACTCTTGGAAGAATCTCGCTGTTTGCGTCTCCCCGGCGTAGATATGTATGTATACGTTGCACTCGGACAGTAGAATGCGCGCGACCACAAAAATGCCGCAATAAGATAAGACGGCCGATATAACGTTCCTCCGTAATTGTACGGCTAACCATGAAGCCACATTGCCCTCGTGATCTCTCACCATTGTAACTTGTTATAACATACATACATGTTAACTTGAGCGCAGCAAGGACGCCGTTGTGAGGCTGAGAAACAATCGACTCTCATTTTTATCGTATCAACATTTATCGGATACACCGGCCGCGGCTGCTCGCTGCTAAGGGGAAAGAAGGGAGAGGGGAGTCTGGAAAAATCTCGAGTCTCGAGAGATAAACGAATGAAAGCGCTCGATTAAGAGTAAAGTTAGACGAGAACACACGAAATCAACGACGCGAGATGCGTCGTCCTCCAGGGTGACGTTCCAGAAATAGCCCAGGACACATCACGGTCCGATCGTCGTGGCTGCTTTCGTTCATCAGTTCAAGGTTAAAAGCGCGTCGCCATCGCGTGGT